CCGATCTTTATGAAATTTTTTGTGTTATATATGGTAGGTATGAGAATCGAATGTAAAGTGTATTTCATACCGCTAGGCGCAGGGGGCGTGGCACCTCCCATACAAACCGAATTTTTCATATTGCACATCTCTGGAAGTGTTCATGGTAGACTACTCGAATATGGCATGGAGATATATGAAAACATTTGCATATTCATGGATAAAAATTGCGGTTATTGGAAACATTACGTGGCACCTCCCACACAAACCGAATTTTTCATACTGCATATCCCGGAAAATGTTCATGGAAGAGGTCTCGAACTTGGTATGGAGATATTTGAAAGCAATCGCATACTCATGGAGATAAATTGTGGTTATCGGAAAAGGAGGCGTGGCACTTCCCATACACATCGAATTTTTCATACTGCATATCTCTGAATGTTTTCATGGAAGAGTACTGGAACTTGGTATGTACAAGATATATAAAACGTGACTNCATATAAAACGCGACTGGTCATGAAGAAAAGTTGGGGATATTGGAAAAGGGACGTGGCACCTCCCATGGTAAATTACTCGAAAATGGTATAGAGATATATTAAATCAATCCCATGCTCTTAGGGAAAATTGGGGTTATTTGAAAAGGGGACGGGCGCCTTTCAAACGCACTGAAACTATTACGTATCTCTGTATGCATGTACAGTTTTGCTAAGTTATTTAAGGCGGCAAATATGCCTTCTGACAACCACCAAACCGTAATATTAGAAGACAAATGCGTCACTAAAAATCATGAACGTGAACTCTTGGTGAAAATGGTGGACCAACATGTTTCAATACACGGTTAAAAATTTCGGTTTCATTTTAATCTTTTTGGACTACATATATGACCAAACTACATAAATTCAGTTTCAAATTCCTTCTAAATTTAAAATAAAGAGGGCACATATCGAGCCCTAACCGCCAAAATAACGTAAGCGACATTTTTTTCAAAGTTTTCTTTTTGATGCAGAAATATTCCTAGAGCATCTGNCATGTTTCAATACACGGTTAAAAATTTCGGTTTCATTTTAATCTTTTTGGACTACATATATGACCATTCTACATAAATTCAGTTTCAAATTCCTTCTAAATTTAAAATAAAGAGGGCACATATCGAGCCCTAACCGCCAAAATAACGTAAGCGACATTTTTTTCAAAGTTTTCTTTTTGATGCAGAAATATTCCTAGAGCATCTGGATGCATTTCTGCATCAAAAAGAAAATTTTGAAAAAAATGTCGCTTACGTTATTTTGGCGGTTAGGGCTCGATATGTTGGGTTTAGAATTTAAACAGTTCTGTTTAAATTTAAAACCCAAACATTTTCATAATTAAGAATAAAAAATAATAAAATTTCATGCTCCGTCTGATGAGGATTGAACCCGGACAGTCTTAGTAGCAACCAATTGTATCAAGCAGCTTTGCACACTCAGCTACAGCCACGCATGTAAATGTGCTTTCATATGTTGAGTTTGAATCAACACCATATTTCGCTGTGTACAAACATTTTCTATTTCGGTTTAGATTTTAAACCAAATTTATAATATATGAAACCTAGAAACTAGTATTAAAACATTTTGGTTTGATTTTTAAACCACGAACTTTTTGGACTAAAATTTAAACCACAATATATTAAAAATTGCTTGACTGGTTTAAAAAGTAGACTATAAAAGATTAAAAAAGGCAGTAGTCCCAGCGCGGTTTAGAAATTAGACCCAAATTTTTGACCGTGTACAAAAAATGTATTTTGGGCGGGACGAAGTTCGCTGGCTCTGCTAGTTTTTTAAATAAAAATAACACCTTACAAACATACATTTTTCCACAGCCGCTAAATATTTTTGGTATTGTGAAGGATGCAATTGTAAATGCTTTTTCAAGCTTGATTGTTTTTTTTTTGACGCTTCACTTCTCAGAGAAAGCTCTTTCACACATTGCAAATCGCAGTCAAGAATGATAGAATACAAGATTGCGCCAATCGAGCTGAGAGCAACTGGCCATGAAGTCAAAATATACCAGAATGAGTTAGCAAAGACGAATTCAATAAGAAAAAGAAAAAGAATCGAACAGCTGGGGCGAAATTGAAAGGTTTGTTTACAAAGTGCATAATAAATCGCGGATTTACGGAATTATTTAATTTTAAATGGTAAATTAGTTGTTTAAAAGTAAAGAATGTGTACTTATTAAATGCATTGCAAATCGCTGAAAGTGTTACAACACTGAAATCATTATAATGATTTGCATTTTTTCAGTAATTGAGTAATACCAGCGGGCAGCCAGCGGNTGCCCGATTGTTTTTTTTTTGACGCTTCACTTCTCAGAGAAAGCTCTTTCACACATTGCAAATCGCAGTCAAGAATGATAGAATACAAGATTGCGCCAATCGAGCTGAGAGCAACTGGCCATGAAGTCAAAATATACCAGAATGAGTTAGCAAAGACGAATTCAATAAGAAAAAGAAAAAGAATCGAACAGCTGGGGCGAAATTGAAAGGTTTGTTTACAAAGTGCATAATAAATCGCGGATTTACGGAATTATTTAATTTTAAATGGTAAATTAGTTGTTTAAAAGTAAAGAATGTGTACTTATTAAATGCATTGCAAATCGCTGAAAGTGTTACAACACTGAAATCATTATAATGATTTGCATTTTTTCAGTAATTGAGTAATACCAGCGGGCAGCCAGCGGGTCAGTTGCTGGTAACAATTTGCAGAAATATTCCACGGTGATCGTTGCATCGTCGTCAATTAGTGAAATCAGTAACCAAGCTTTTAAAATAAAGGAAAACCTCCTACTCCGCTATACATATAATTGCTTTCATTATTTAGCTACTTTTCCGGCAGCCGCAACAAACGCTGGCCCAAGCCTGCAAATTGTTGCCAGCAAATGACCCGCTGGCTGCCCACTGGCATTTGTTCAACTACTCAAAAATGCACTTTGTAAACAAACCTTTTGGGTGTTGGCCACATCAAGCGGCTCATCTGGATGAAATGAAAAGGCTGTTAGATGTAATGCAGCAACGTGCTCCCGATGTTGAACATCAGTTCAAAGAAAAGTCAAATGAGTTGGAAATGGCGCAGCTTATCATACGCCAGTTGTCGGATAAGGCCAATG